GTCCACAGAAAGCGAAGGTCACCTGGAGGAAGGGAGCACCTGGTAAGGCACTGGTTGTCCTCCAGGAGCACTGGCCAGCCTTCTGCTGTGTGCCTGCTCCAACATGCCACGCCCTGACTGGGAGCCAGGTGCACCTGAGCCCACCCACAGATTTCCCAAGGCAGTGAGTCATACGAAAAGCTAGGAAGCCAAATGAGCTTTTCCAAATGCCATTTCTGCACCCTACAGTCACGAGGCCCAGTGCTGACCATTATGCACAACCTGTGGACACCTCATGATGGTCCAATGAGAGGAAACAGCAGGAGCAAATGCTGAAAGGTGACAAAAGAACAGCTAGACATAGTTTGGCAGGATCATCAACTCCTTCTAGAGGTCACAGCAGTCATCTCACACCCTATTTAAAACCCTCTCTAGGCTGCCAAAAAACATGCAAACTCCCTACAACAACTTGGAATAAAACCCACAGTTCCTGTACCAGCCGCTGGCCGGGCCGGTAGCACCTCTTGTATTTTTAACTATAAATCTGGCTAGGAAGCACAGGGGAAATGACAAGAGGCAAGGAGAACAGTTAAAGTGAAAGTGATCACAGACCACACATGAAGTTAACACTGATTTAGATGCTAGTAATACCACCATGTTCAAGGGCTTTCTTTCTGGCAATGATACAATCACATGGGCTAAGTAATGAACAGACCTGAGTAGACGAACAGAACATGGGTTGCCTGAATGCTTACTGACTGGGGGGCGAGGGGGGCAGCTATATGTTTTATTCTGTGCACGTAGTTCCAGGTCTCCTTGAACCTCCCTCACAAAGCAGAGGCCAGGTGGACTTCTGGGCTATTCCCAAGGTCAGCAGGCCATTCCCTCGACCCCCGCCCCATTCGCCCCATCTTCAAGAGTAACAAGCACACGTTACCGCTGCCACTTTTCAACAGGGATTCTCAACACCGACTGCACGTTAGAATCCTAAAAATTATAAAGGATTGAGGATTTTTAAAAATCCCCAAACTGAGGCCACACCGCAGACCCATTACATCAGAATCTCTGCGGTGGAAACCAGGCATCAGTATTTTTTAAGGCTCCCCAGGTAATTCCAATGGGCAGTCAGGCCTGAGAACCACTGTTGTAGGGATTTTCCACCGTGGCTGTACCAATCTGCATCCCCAGCAGTATGCTATAGCCCAAGTGCCCAGAGGCCAGCCTTTACTCAATTCCCGCATAGTCACAGAATCTTGTATTTATTTTGATGGTGAAAGAGTTGGGTCTTCCAAAAGGAAGCATCCTACGAATAAACACCAATCCAGAAATATTCATTATTTCCTGAATTTTTGTTTACATCATTAAATTTCCTTTATTTGATTTTTAATACCTTTCCAACTCTTATTAAGATATACGGCAGCCCTGACCAGTTTGGCTCAGTGGATAGAGCGTCGGCCTGCGGACTGAAGGGTCCCGGGTTCGATTCTGGCCAAGGGCATGTACCTTGGTTGTGGGCACATCCCCAGTAGGAGGTGTGTAGGAGGCAGCTGATCGATGTTTCTGGCTCTCTATCCCTCTCTCTTCCTCTCTGTGAAAAACCAATAAAATATATTAAAAAAAAAAAAAGATACACGGCAAATGTCATTTTGCCTCAGAATATTGAAGTAGAAAAGAAAACAGAATGTATACACTTGGTGAATGATTCTAAAATATATAAAACCCACTTACCTGACCTACTCAGAAATATGACTGTCTCTACCATTTCACAGAATCCTTAGCAAAACACAAAAACTACTTTAAAAAAACGGCCCTGGTTAGAATTAATCCTGTCCAGGTCAAAGAGAAGCAGCATATTCACATTCTGTCGGTGCCTTCAGTCACACCCCCGTCCACACACCCACAGATCGACTTATCTGTCCCACCTACCGGAGACTTTTATCTTTCTAAAGCCCAGCAATGATCTCATCAGACCAACAGAGAGGTTATGTTTCGCACAACATTATGTACCAAATGGCACTGATATGGGGGGAAGGGTTGGATTTTTTCCCATGCTATTCAGTATTTATGAAAATCCAGATGCTTTGCTAACTCAATATAATTCAAACAGTGAGGCCAGTACTAAGCGGCCACACCCGATTTGTTCTAAATGTGATAAAATCTAGAGCACAAACCTGAAAAATGCTTTAAAAGCTTTCTTTTTAAAAGAGCTCCTGCAAGTAGACTACACAAACGGAAAAAAAGTAAAGAGGGTACAACTGGATGATTCTGACTGTTATTGTAGGCACAGTGATATGCAAGCCATTCTGAATCAGGGTTGTCTACAAACTTGCTACATACACCATATGCCAGCAGATACTGTTAATGGAAAATTGCTATTCTTGTACCTCTTTCATTGATCTGAAAGCCAAACTAGTCTTTCTGCTTTGCCTTCAGAATATTTTGGTATTCCCATAAAACCCGGGTGGTGCTGTAGCGGGTAGTGCTGGAGAGGGTAAAGCTCTTCTCAAGCCGAAGACTGGCGATCTCCAAATGCATAAGCAAGCAGTGTCCTGTACGTAGCTAGACTTTCGGGAGTGCCACTACATCTGCCAGATTAACATAGTAACTATTACTTAGGTAATTTCAATTTAATTGTTCAAATCAAAACTTCTAAGACATGTTTCCTCCCTTCCAATGATAGAAACACAGGTGTAATAATGTGTTATCTGTGCCTTAGCCTCCTAGCTTCCTTTATTTTTGTCCCTGTGGTTGAGGAAAGTTGTAAAAACAAACTCAATGAAAGTAAAACCCACCAGCTTTCTTGGGAAGAGCTGCAGAGTAACACAAAATTCATTTTTGTGAGGAAGAGTTACTACTGGAATGCATAGAATGAAATTGTACAATATTTCAAAATAAACACTGTAAAGTAGAAACAACCTCAACAAATAATAAATTCAGCTCTTCATCTGATAAGATTCATTTGTAAGTTAGTTTAATTGCACAAATTATTTATATAACCAAGGCGCTATATTCAGGATACATTTCATAAGGTTTGTTTTTATACCAGTATTAGGGTGTTTCCCAGTTGCCCGAAATAAGTGGCAAGCCCTTTTATTTATTTTTTATTTTTTTTAAATTAAATATATTGGGGTAACACTGTTTCATAACATTATTATAAGTTTCAGGTGTACAATTCTAGGGTATATTATCTGTATACTACATTGTGTGCTCACCACCCAAAGTCTAGTCTCCTTCCCTCATCATATATCTGACCCCCCTTTATCTTCATCTTCCTCCTCGCCCCTTCCCCTGTGGTAACCACCATAACTGTTGTCCATGTCTGTGTGTTTGTGCTTTCTATTTCATATCCCACATATGAGTAAAACCATGTGGTTCTTTTGACAAACCTTTTTAAAATCAGGAGAAAATTCTCCCAGTATCTGAATTAACATTAATTCAGAAACAAGGAAGTCCTAACTGGTGGGGCTTTATTGTCTATGCACATGAATATAAGGCGAAACACACATTAAAATGATTATCAGGGAGAAGGAACCAGCTCTCTGCACAGGTTGAGAGCTCCCACTAGCAAAGGCAAGAGGACTCTGTTGTAACACTTTCCGTGTGTGCACCCATCACAAGGTACACATCTCGCCAGTATAATCTGATGAAATAAACATTGCGGCTCGTCATCAAGAGATCAAGCATCAAGTTAAGGCTCTGAAATGTGTAACCCTGAGCAGTCAGTGACTACCCTCTGGTGCTATGGCTGCTCTCAGGGAAACTGGGGACCCAGTAACTAGGGCAGCCCTGGAGGGGGAAGGGGACCGAAGGGGAGAAGGACGGCTGCAGGGGGGGTCACTTACGAGACGTAGGCTGGGTAGCCGAATCCTATCAGGTTGCAGAGGAGAGAGGCTCCATAGCCGAACATCAGGTACAAGGCCAATAGCCCGATGACACCTGGATTCGCGAGAGAAGTGGGTTGAGTGGCAGAGAGGTACTCAAGCCCCACAGCCCCCCTAAACTGC